CCTGGCACTCCATCCAGGTATCCCACGTGGGTGGCAGGGGCCCAAGCACTTGGGCCATTTTCCACTGCTTTCCCAGGTGCATTAGCAGGGAGCTGGATCAGAAGTGGAGCAACTGGGCCTCCAATTAGTGCTTCCATGGTATGCCAGTAACCTTCTGTGCTGCAACACTGGCCTCTCCCCCGTCCTCTAAAGAGAGCAGTTTTCTACGTTGAGCCAGCTCCGTTCTGATATGTTGGAGTGTAGGAAGGGGCCGTGAGGTTGTTTATTACATGTAAATATTAGATCACTCTTTGTCCCGACTATGATGGAAACTGGGTTTTCCTGTTCACCTGGGCCCAGACTAAGGTGAGGCAAAATTTAAGGATGCACTCACTGCTTCAGTCTTGCAAGTACAGGGTGGCCACCTGCGAGGGAGTGCTACCTCCTTAAATGTTATGCCCTGGGCACTTACACCTGCCTCACCCTAGCTAGCTCTGTCTCTCACCTGGCTCACCTGGACTGATGTAGTAGATTTCCAACGTCTCAGCTTCTTCCCTTACCTGCTGCCCTGCCTCGCACTTGCGTATTCTCAACTGAGCAGCCCGTGGGATTCTTGCCACTCTTGCTCCTACCCTCCTTTGGCTTCGAATCCTTTCTGTGTCTTCTCTGACTCCATCGAACACTCCCTGATCTGCATTCCACTGCCACAGAGACTTCTTTGCGGCTCCTCCTATGAACTAGACCTTGGCCTTTCTTGGTTTCCTTGTCTGCCATTCCTTGTCTGTGTGAGTTCCACAGATCTTTACTCCCTTACTGCCTACAGATCCTTAGACCAATAACTCTTTTGCATTGAACCTCACCGTCATCTTTAAGTTGGCACCTGCTCACCCCCCCACACTCGTGAACCCCTTCCTGCTTTGATTTTTCCTCTGGTACTCACATGTGACTTAGTTCACCCCTAGCCCACCACCACCTTCCAAAAGTAGATGGTGTGAGGGTGGGGGTTCAGGTCAGTTTCCTTGGCGGCTGTGTGCATGGCGCCTGGATTAAGACTTACCACTCAGTACACACTTGGTGGACCGGTAACAATGCATGGGAGAATCATTCAGACCCAAAGGAGGCCCCCATGTGACTGCTGGCCCCCAGCCAGTGCAGAGACCGTGTTCTGACTTGGCGGGCAGAAACACCAGGACACTGCAACCAGAGACACGCTCCCCCTAGCTGTGCTGTCTTTTTTGGCTTCGGCTCATCAGAAGCCTTTGTCTCCGGAAAACCAACAGAGCCCTCCGCCAGAAAGGTCTGCCTGACCTTCTTGTTATTTCAGCTGTTTTCAAGGTTCTCTAGGAGGATTCTTGGCCACAGGGGGGCCCGTGGGGCGCCAGGGTCCCGTGATGCAGCAAGTGGTTCAGGAAGCCCAAGGACTTCCAGCTCTGGGTTATTCGGACACCGCTCAGCAGAACTCCAAGTTGCCTTAACCTGCTCGCCCCTTGGCCCTTCTTAGCCTTCCAGCCTGCCTGCTGGGTGCCTGTACCCATACACAAGCCGACAGCTGGAGAGTCAAACTCGAACTTACCCGGCATCCCTGCTTTGCAACGGGGCTCGGAGAGACGAACACAGGACATCGGTACCGCTGATCGGCAGTTGCAGTTCACTCTATGGCATGGGGAGCAGTTGGTCCTTGTGCTCAGCAGTGCTCTGTCACCGTCAGTGACACCTGCTCTGGAGGGGCAGGTGGGCCCTTGTAGGATTTGTTGAGTAAGCAGTCAGCTAGCTACCTTCCCCAGAAGGAAGGAGACCTGCCTTATAGGCCAGACTTCCTGTTTCCTCCTCAGCCTGGAGGAGTGCTTCTTGCCTCTTGTCCACTCTCCTTTCTGAGAGTGATATATAAAGGAAAAGTTGGGAAAGTCGCACCACATAGGGTCTGAGGGTAGCAAGCAGGGCCAATGTCTATAGGGCGTCTGAGCTCCAAGTTCTCGGGTTGGATTCTAATCAAAGTTCATGGCTTGGAGCCTGTTCTTTGAATGTCTGGTTTGCCTTTTTCCCCATATTAAAAATAAATAAATAAATCAATGGGGATTAAACGTCTCCCTGGAGGTGTGGGTGAAAAGGATAATGCAGTGATGTGCTGGCAAAGTTAGCTTATTTCCATCCTATGAACATTTTAAGTACTGTATTAATGATTCTCTTTGAAAATCCTCAAAGGAATGTTTTATCGCAGAATGCTGAAGAAAAACAGCTATGTATGATCCCACCTTAATTTTAGCTTCTTTCTTAAGTGAATTCTCCGCCTCCTCCATCCCAGAAGTCTGGTATGTTGGGTCATTCCAAAATGGATTATTGACCAGGAATGAGGCCACCCTAGTATTGCAAGCTAAGTAGCTTTAGGAAGAAAGGCCTCCTGTGCCTGCTGCCCATGGTCAGAAGCCAGTAGGACAAGGCTGGGATTTAGCCAGCAGGTCAGCAGGTGTGTGTTAAGCACTCTTCCCGTGCGAGCCTTCTTTCTTCTAGACAGGGGGTGGTTTTGGGAGCCTCCGGATCAACAAATACCCATCAAATCTAATTGAGTTTGAAATAAATCTCCATTTGGGAAACAGAAGAATTTGCTTTTCTGAACAATTGATTTATTGGCCTCCAGATGACCATGACTGTTTACTTGGACTTCCTTTTATTTTGATTAAGTACATATCTGTCCATGCTTTGATTTTTATCTGGGTCTTCCAGAATGTATATATATCCAACCATACCCATCCACATGGGTTGACCATTGGGTTGGCTGCAGGGATGTGCAACTAGACAGACATGGTATCTGTCACAAACCCAGCCCCTGTAGCATCTGTATATTTTACAAACTGGCTCTCTTTTCATCCCTTCTGTGGGTTAGGTGTTCAACTCAGTTTTTCATTTGATCTAGACTCTAGAATTTCAACTCTGTGTGTCTTTACTAAACTTGCGATTTTAGAGCTCTTAAGGGTAATAGGGCTTTATTCTCAGTTCTATTTGCACCCTGCAGTCAAAAGTGTAACTTTCAATTCCTGCCTTTCAACACTCAGTCTGATAAGTTGCTTTGTGTTTGTCCGCTAAAGCTGACTCATCTCTAATTAGGTTAAGTTCCTCTCCCTCCTTTTTTTTTCTTGAGGACCAAACTCATAAAGTTTTTACCTTCAGACACGTTGTTACTCAAAATGTGACCCAAGGACTGGCTCTAGACCTCACACCGGAAGCTGTTAGAAGCACAGGTCTTGGGAGCCGTGTTGTGGCACAGTGGGCTGCGTCCCATGTCAAAGTGCCAGTTCATGTCTTGGCTTCTCCATTTTCCATCCCCAGCTCCCTGCTAATGACCCAGGGAGGGCGGCAGAAGATGGCTCAAGTGTTTGAGCCCCTGCCATCCACGTGGGAGACCTGGATGGAGTTCTCGATTCCTGGCTTGGGCTTGGCCCTCCCTGGCCATTGCAGACATTTGGAGAGTGAATCAGTGCATGGAAGATCTCTCTCTCTCTCTCCTCTCTGCATGTGTGTGTAACTGCCTTTCAGATAAATAAATAAATCTAAAACAAAAAAAATATGGCTCTCATGTCCCAGCCTTACCCATGATGTTTGCATTTTATTTTGCTTTTAAGATTCAGTTATTTATTTGAAAGGCAGAGAGAGAGAAGGAGAGACACAGAGGGATTTTCCATCCACTGGTTCACTCCCCAAATGTCCGCAACAACTGGGGCTAGAACAGGCTGAAGCCAGGAGCCAGGAGCTTCTTCTGGGTCTCCCACATGGGTGCAGAGGCCCAAGCATTGGGGCCATCTTCTGCTACTTACCCAGGCGCATTAGCAGGAAGCTGGATCAGAAGTGGTGCAGCTGGGACTTGGACCAGCACCCATATGGGATGCCAGTTCTGCAATGGCAGCTCAACCAGCTGTGCCATAGCTCTGGCCCCGATATCTGCATTTTGATAAATATAATCTCTACAGCGAATTCATGTGTATATCTAAGTGTCAGAAGTGGTTGAACAATGTCTTCAGATTTTCTTATTAAAAATTACATTGGGGCAGACATTGGGGCAGGATGTGTGAAACCACTGTTGGGATGCCCACATCCCATATCAGAGTGCCTGGGTTTGAGTCCTGGTTCCTCTGCTTCTGTTCCAGCTTCCTGCTGATGCACACCCTGGGAGACAGTGGTGATGGATGAAGTACTTGGGTGCCTGCCACCCACATTCAAGACCTGGATGGAATTCCTGGCTCCTGGGTTTGGCCTGGCCAATCCCTGACTGCTATTGTAGGGATTAGAGGGGTGAACCAATGGATGTACAATATCTTTCTCTTTCTATCACTCTGACTCTCAAATAAATAAATCTTAAAAAAAAACAATTAGAATTGCAAGTTCAGGATGAAAAGGGACGCATTTCCATTAAGCAGTTTTTTGAAAACATTTTTTAACATTGTGAAAATCACAAACATAGAACAAAATGGAAAGAGGTGTATGATGACCAGCCCATGTATTCTCCACCTAGCATGCATGATTCACTTTTTCAAACATTTTTCTCCAAATTGATTTCTGTCCAGAATTGTATAAGGAGATGTTAGGTGATAGTGTGACTGCTACAAAGAATCATATCTTGATAATAAGGGTCTTTCTCTTTCTTCTAGATGTCTCAGTGGGTTTGGTAAGGACACAATTGATGTGAGAATGTCTTTGAGCCAGAGAAATGCGGGGGTCAGAGTGGGGGAACGCTGGGTTTTAACATTGCTGGGGGCTGGTCCTTGCCCCACTAGCGTCCTGTGCATGGTGACAGGGTTGAGACAGACCCTCTCCAGTGCCGCTTCCAGTGCTGTAACTACAGGTCTGTTGCACATGGTATCATCATTGCTATTTTTCAGGTGGAGAAACTGATGAACCAGTTAAAATATTCAAGTAAGAAGGAAACCATCTGCTAACATGGAAAAGCCATTATTTCCTAAGCTACTGAGTAAAACACAGCTGCCCTGGCCGTTGTAACTCTATTTGCTTGTCAATTTTTGTCATTTCAGGAAACCTCACAGAAACTTGAAGCCCTCAACCATCTGGAACTCAGAAATGCATTCGGGGCTGTCTGTGGTTTCTCAAACATCCAGGTGTTCTGCAGATGCCAGAGTTTTTCCTGTAGTCGCCAGGTGGAGTCCCCAACCGACGGAGAGGCTTGTGCTGCGATGCTGATGTCCCAGAATACAGAAGGGGTCACTTTCTAAGTGACCGAGCACCTCGGTGACACTGAGGTCTGACTGTTGCCCTCAGCCACCTGACTGTTGAGCTGCAGTGGGAGCCATTCCCAGCAGAGGCTCCAGCCACGGCAGGTGTTGCGACTTCCCTGCCTCCTGAACTAGAATTCCAGGAGGGCACCTCATTTCAGGAGCCCCCCTCCATCCCTGGAGCCCTCATCCCCGCCCTCATCCCCACCCTCATCCCCACGGCCACTGGCACCTTCTGGCGAACGTCAGCCTTGCTCCCCAGGGACCTCCTGCCTTGAAAGTGCACTCTTGGGAGAACTGTCCCCCTGCCATCACTCCAGAGAGCCGGAAGCCCCATCTGTCCCACCATGGGCTGGCTCTTCCTCAAGGTTCTGTTGGTGGGAGTGAGCTTCTCAGGCTTTCTGTATCCTCTCGTGGATTTTCACACCAGTGGGAAAGCAGAAGACCGGAAACCGAATTTCGTGATCATTTTGGCCGATGACATGGGCTGGGGCGACCTGGGAGCAAACTGGGCAGAAACAAAGGACACGGCCAACCTCGACGAGATGGCCTCGCAAGGAATGAGGTGAGCCTTAGGGATGCCAGGCCGGCGTCTCTTTGGGTGCCTTACCCCGATTCTGGTGGGGGGAGGGGACTGGGTAAAGCATTTAAAGATCCGCTGACAGACCCACGTTGGTTTCATTAGCTGTCTGAGTAGGTTGGCGGCCAGTGCAGTGTCCTGAGGAAAGCCTCTGATGGTATTGATTGTGTGTTCGTGTGTGTTCCAAGCAGAGAAGACAGAGCGAAACCAAAGTAAGAATCGCAGGCAAGGAGTCTGTGAGCCTGCGGCAGGAGCTTTCAGAGTAGTGGGGAGGTGGGGTGTGGAACCCAGCCTAGGGACTGATGGGAGCCAGCAGCCTTTGCTAAAACATTTTTTTAAAAAGATTTATTTGTTTATTTGAAAGTCAGAGTTACCCAGAGAGAGGAGAGGCAGAGAGAGAGAGAGAGAGAGAGAGAGAGAGAGAGAGTCTTCCATCTGATGGTTCTTTCCCCGACTGGCTGCAACAGCAGAGCTGCGCCAATCTGAAGCCAGGAGCCAGGAGCTTCTGAGTCTCCCACAGGGCCCAAGGACTTGGGGCATCTTCCGCTGCTTTCCTAGGCCGTAGCAGAGAACTGGATGGGAAGTGGAGCTGCTGGGACTTGAACCAGCACCCATATGGGATGCCGGCACTGCAGGTGGTGGCCTTACCCGCTGTGCTGCAGTGCTGGTCCCTAAAACATTTTTTTGAAGATTTATTTGAAAGCAGGATGGCAGAGAGGAAGAGACACAGAGAGAAAGATCCTCCATCCGCTGCCTCACTCCCCAGAAGGCTGCAATGGCTGGGACTGGGCCACACTAAAGTCAGGAGGCAGGAACTCCATCCTCATCTCCCATGGGGGTGCCAGGGCCCCATCTTCCGCTGCTTTTCCAGGCGCGTTAGCAGGGAGCTGGATCAGAAGTGGGGCAGCCGGGACTGGAACCAGCGCTTCTATGGGAGGTGGCGGCTTAACTGCTCCACCTCAAATGCCAACCGGGAGCCAGTGGCCTTTGAAGAGCAACTGTGAGTCCATGAGATGCACGTGCTTACTTGGGAGTAGCCAGGACTTAGGTTGAAGGCACACTGGACGCATAGGGGCGGCAGAGAGGGCGCGGGCGCGTCTGATGGGGTGAAGTGTTTGTGAAACAGCCAGTCTAGATTTTTGTTAAAAAGTCTAGCCGCTGTCCCCACAGAGAGCAGGTGTCACAGTGTCTCAACTTCTGGGTTTTGCTCTTGGGCTGGCGTTGCTCTAGCTGGCCTGCACACAGTGGGCTTGGTGGGAATCGCTCTGGGGAGCTACTGAGGGCCCTGGCCTCTGCACAGCCACTCGCATCATCAAGCCCGGAGCTTTTCCCTTGAGATAGGGGCTCCTGGGGGGTGGAGGGGAGGGTCCCTGCTTCTGGTCTTACCCCCTGCATTTCATCTTCCTCACCTTAGCCGAGTGAACCTTCTAGAAACACCCCTCCACATCCAGTCTCTCAAAGATGTTTTGCGGCCCTAAGGACAACATCCTAACAGCTGACAGCATTTTTTTTTTAATATTTATTTGAAAGTCAGTGTTACACAGAGAGAGGAGAGGCAGAGAGAGAAAGAGAGGGAGAGAGAGAGAGAGAGAGAGAGAGAGTCTTCCATCTGATGGTTCATTCCCCAACTGGCCGCAACAGCAGAGCTTTGCCGATCTGAAGCCAGGAGCCAGGAGCTTCTTCCGGGCTTCCCATGCAGGTGCAGGGGCCCAAGGACTTGGGCCATCTTCTACTGCTTTCCCAGGCCATAGCAGAGCTGAATCGGAAGTGGAGCAGCCAAGACTCAAGCCGGTGCGCATATGAGATACCAGCACTGAGGTGGCAGCTTTAGCTGCTACGCCACAGTGCCAGCCCCAACAGCATCTTATAAACTCGTGTCCTTCACTGCCCCTCTGTCTTCTGGCTGACTCTGTTGTTGCCTCCTCCAGGTGGGCCTCGTCCATGCAATGAGCTCCTTGTTCAGGTGTGCTGTCCACTTCCTCTGTTCCAGGAGCTTCTGCTCACTGTTTAGGTCACAGCTCCACTTGGGCTCGTCTGGCAAACCTTCTCAGATGCGTCAGGCTTACCGTGCACTGCTCTTCTCGTGGTCTGTGCTCGAGCAGTGTGTCTGTTGGGTAGAATAGCACTGTCTCCACCTCTTACCGCCAATTCACAGCCACCGGAACCCCAGAAGGAGACTTATTTGGAAATGTAATTAGTTAGTGATCTTGATGGCAAAAAATCAATTCAGAGTGGATCCTTAATCCAACACCTAGTGTCTTTATAAGGAGAGGAGAGGACAGAGAAACACGGAGAGACGAAGGCCACCTGGAGACAGAGGCCGAAACTGGAATGATGTCACCATAAGCCAAAGACTGCTGGCAACCACAGGAAGCCAGGAGAGAGAGAGAGAAGGAACAGATCCTCCCCAGAGCTTCCAGAAGACCCAGCCCGGCTGACATCTGCACTCTAGGCTTTGGTCTCCTGAACTATTGTCTCCAGCCGTCTGATTGTGGCAATCGTCAGGGTGGCTGCCAAAACCCATGTATCTCCCTCCAGCTCTGGACTTCAGGACAAAAAGGGCCTTGTCTATTTGACCTCCTTGTATTCCTAGCATGTGCATAGCACAGGGCCTCATGCATAGTGGACAGTTAATAAACACTTATTCATGAGTAAATGGGCCTTAGGGGTTTAAACTGCTCTGAAGTGTCTCCCCACGTTGTGCAGGTGGGAGGTGGTTCCTGGGGGAGAGCGTTAAACCACAGGTAGCGCTTGCCAGATCCTCATAAAGACCTGGGTAGCCAAATACTTAGGAACGTGTGTTGTCAGTGTCCCGGGGGAAATATCCAGCCCAATATTTAAGCTGAGAGTTTGAGGCCTGGGCATTTTGCCTGTGAGCTGTCACCACCAGCTCTGCCCAAACAGAAAAGGTGTCTCAGAGGTCAGAGGTAGACAGAATTTGGTGGGCGTGCCTATGTTTGCATCTCTCAGGACAGTCTCCTCTCTAGCTGAGCTCTGTGGCTGTGGCCAGGTGGACGGCCTTGCTCTGTGCTTTGAAGACAGGAAAGCCAGGCTTCCTGTGGGGCCCTGGCTGATTCATTGTGGGCCCCTCCCACTGCCTGCTCATGGCCAGTGGGCAGCCATGGTTCTCAGACAGGAACTCTTACTGCCAGACTGAGCCCAAGTGCCACTTAACTCTCTTCTCTTTTTTTTTTTTTTAATTTTTTTTTTTAATTTTTTTGACAGGCAGAGTGGACAGTGAGAGAGAGAGACAGAGAGAAAGGTCTTCCTTTGCTGTTGGTTCACCCTCCAATGGCTGCCATGGCCGGCGCGCTGCGGCCGGCACACCGCACTGATCCGATGGCAGGAGCCAGGTGCTTATCCTGGTCTCCCATGGGGTGCAGGGCCCAAGTACTTGGGCCATCCTCCACTGCACTCCCGGGCCACAGCAGAGAGCTGGCCTGGAAGAGGGGCAACCGGGACAGAATCCGGCGCCCCGACCGGGACTAGAACCCGGTGTGCCGGCGCCGCAAGGTGGAGGATTAACCTAGTGAGCCGCGGAGCCGGCCTTAACTCTCTTCTCTTGTCTCCCTTTTCTGGTGTCTGCTTTTGCTAGCATCGCGGGCATGAGCTCACGGAGAGGCATGAAACAGCAGGAATGATCTATGGCCATACTCCCTTGAGCATGTGCAATCTCATCTGATCTTGGAAGCTAAGCCGGGTCAGGCCTGGTTAGCACTTGGATGGGAGAAACAACAAGAGTGCATGGTTTCACAGTTCAGGAGGCTGGAAGCTCAAAACCAAGGTGCCAGCCGTTTGGTTCAGGAAGCTCTGTGGGAGAGACTGTTTCTTACCTGCTTCCCAACTCTGGGGTCTGCTGGCCATCTTTGGGGTTCTTGTCTTGGAGACTCCAGCTCTTCCTTGGTTGTTACATGGTGTTCTCCTTGCCTGTGGCCGAATTTCCTCCTTCTACTAAAGATGCCAATTACAGATTCGAGACCCACCCTAATCCAGTATGAGCTGGTCTTAACTTGTAAGGACCCCGTTTACAAGTAAGGCCACAGTCACAGGTTCTGGATTGACATGGGATTTGGGAGGACACTATTCGAACTAGTATTAGATTATGTCTCTTTAAAAAAAATTTTTAAAGATTTACTGTTTATTTGAAGCCAGAATTACAGAAAGGCAGAGGCAGAGAGAGAGAGAGAGAGAGAGAGAAAGACAGAAAGAGGTCTTCCATCCACTGGTTCACTCCCCAGATGGCTGCAATGGCCGGAGCTGCGCTGATCCTAAGCCAGGAGCCAGGAGCTTCTTCCTGGTCTCCCATGCAGGTCCAGGGGCCCAAGCACTTGGGCCATCTTCTACTGCTTTCCCAGGCCATAGCAGAGAGTTGGATGGGAAGTGGAGCAGCCAGGACTTGAACTGGTGCCCATATGGGATGCTGGCACCACAGACGGCAGCTTTACCCACTATGCCACAGCGCTGGCCCCAGATTATGTCTTTTTCTCTGCTCCTAACGTAGTGTGTAGCATAGCAGGTGTTCACCAAATACTATCTGCATTGAGGAGTAAATGCTGTGCTTAGTTCAGATCTCAGCTCTGCATTTCCTATTCACATGACCCTGGACAAGTTACAAGGAGACTTCGAAAAAGTTCATGGAAATGGAGTTAAAAGTAAAATTTATTTTTGTGCAAAAAGTTTTGAAATCTGTGCAGCTTTTTCATGATAGGTATTTCTGTGGACTTTCTGGAGACCCCCATATATGTCTTTTCTCTGAGCCAGCTTTACTTTTCCTCTTCCGTAAATGGGGACCTCAGTGATAAGCACCTGGCTCATTGGGTACTGTGGGGGTTAAATTAAGTCATCCTGTAAGCCATTAGCATACAGCCTGGTATACAACAGACAGGGGAAGATGTTAGCTCTCCCTTAGAAACAATGGCGCTGTTACAGACATAGTGTCCATGGAATTGTCGGTAAGAATTGGCAGCCCTACGTGATGCCAAGTG